AATGGCAACCAACTAGCTTGGATAAGAGGAAAACACTCGAACCTATATATGTCGATAGTGTCCAATCTTCTTCGTACTAATATGTATAAATATACATTCGACTCTCTATGAGTTTCCAGCATGGCAGTGAAAGCTAAACATGGGAGATACTCATCCTGAATACCAAAACTTATTATGCAACTAGCTATATACGTCCTGTATTAAAAGACGGTTAAAACTTTACCAGTGCGCGGTCGTGTTCTGTGTATACAAATCTGGAACAGTGACGAGGAGCTCATACTATTAGATTAATAGAATTATAATCCGATATAAATAGTTACGTTATCTTTTTCGTGCACCACGGGTTCGGAATACTAATAATCTCATGTCACTTTTAAGCGTAGCTCCAAGACAGAATATGATTCGTAATACGAAACGAACATCAGGCGGAAAATTCCGGAATTTCAAACAGGTATCAGTAAGCGTGGTGACATTCACTTTCGTAATATACCAAAATGCATCAACGTAATGTGATCAAAAGGAATGCAGTTACTCTACGAACGCATGCATCTCCCGCTTCACTCTGCGAATTTAGCCGGCGTCGTTGTAACCAGCCGCCTGGAGTGGAATAAAAAAAATTCTACATGTGGAATTATGGAAAAATTGTACAAAGGGTATAGAAAAGAATAATAGAAATTTCGGCAGTGAAGAAGTAGGCCCATGGCCTGTTGCCGATTCTTGTGCTTCTTGTGACTTTATTCCACAAGGAATCCAGCCTTTTGAACCCGATCTTTCCATAACCGACGATTGATTGAGATATATAATTGAAGAATTCCTTGCCTTTGTCACACTTTATATGCCGAAGTGTCACACTCAACTACGAGAAGGGCTACCATTGTCCCAATAGCATCCCCTCCTCTCATTCAGGGTGCGAAATATGGCTCGTGTGCATCGAAAATATATTGTCCGTGGAACAATTATTTCGATTTTAATTAAGTTTCTTAAATTGCAAAGTAATATTGTCCGTGGAACAATTATTTCGATTTTAATTAAGTTTCTTAAATTGCAAAGTAATCAGCATTAAAAATACGGATGTTAGTTATCTACCGAAATGTATCATTCGAAGTATTGAAAAAGTAAAAATGCGTAAGAAAAAATTTCCATCATCTTAAATTTCTGATGTTTAAAAGTAAACGTGTTTGTATGATATCAGAAATTAAGATGTAAGATGTTTGTAAGATATCACTGCTCATAAAATGAGCAATGATGATGAATTTTAAAGTTCATAAAAAAGAAAGTGCACGAGACTTTGGACTACTCGATGAATCACAGAAATTGTCAAGTCTAAGCGAACGACAAGATTGTGTACCAAAGCAGCAGAGCCTTTCATGTAGCAGACGAGTCCAAGTAAAGCTGTTTAACGTACGTGCTGAGAATAAGCGCGAAGTATTTAACTTTCTTTCATGACGTGATGCATGGAGAAACCAAGTCCATCATTAGTATACACGAATGTAGCTCATCTATTACCTTGTAGTGGCTTAAATGCGTGGATAGGGATCGAGGTGTAATAGTAATAAAGTTACACATTAATTTCTAGTAACCGTTATAATAACCGAGATTCAAGGTTGTGATAATGAAGTTCAAAATACCATTTTTATGAGAGTTGAGGCGATCTTAAATTTTAAATCAATGCATGCAAAAGTTTACAACACAATTCCAATAAATGGAAAATATTATTGTCGTACAAGTAACTTTTGAGCCATGTTTTTTCATTAAATGCTGAGCGCTGACTCACAAAGGCCTACAATTTAGTCAATAAACTTCATATAACAGCCTCTTGCTTTACCAGGCAGGGATGTGGTATCTTACAGCCAATTAGGGACCAAAATTGGCAGTTTTTAAGGGGCTCTTTGTGTTTTATTTAGCAGAAAAAGATGAGCTTCAAGAAATCAAATGGAAAACTACCTCCTCAGGACTGTTGCTGTTGAAAAATCATGCGTAATAATTTGTAAGTAAGCATAAAAATTAAGTACATTACAAATGTTAATTAAAGAGCTCCCGAATTAAGCATATTTATTTCAGATGATCAATTATATTGGCTATTACTCTTCGAAATCGTGGAGCCAATGAAAGACACTCTGATTGGCCAAGACTACCGGCGCCCTTCGTGATTATAGATACATAGGTTGCCTCCAAGGTCGCCATTCGTTGTAGAATGGTATCCTGAGTCTTCATTAGCTCATAATATTTTGTGTTCAAATACCCAAATGAAAATTAGTTACGCTGTTTTTCGACCTGTAGTCTTTAAGGTACAAAAATAATAGGATGCGCTCTTTTTACTGACAATATTTTATCTGATTTTCATGGTCTCAAAATTCGCCTTATTGGGAAACATTTTGTAATCATATAAGTAGTGATAATGAGTGTTAAAAAAGTATTGCATTTTTGGTTTGCAATTAATAAACGTCAATGAAAAACTTTGCTAGCTCCGATGGCCCTCCCCCGAATAACAGGCGGAGAAAATTGCAGAGATTATTTCTAACGTTTATCTTAGAAACCGCTAATTTAAATAATATAAAATCTGTAATTTAATTCAATATTGCCAAATGCACGATTTTCCCCAAGAAATCGTCAAATTTAATTTATCTGAAATGCAGGCTAAATGACGGGTACGTTAACGAAAAAGATAAACGTGAGCCGATGTCGCTTGCAAAGCGCACACTTTGCTAAGTTGTTGAAAAAAAACTCATATTTTTCTCATTCATAGTGAATTGTTGATTTTTTCGTCAAATTTATACGTTCGGTTACTGCGCAACATGTTCAGTGAATCTTTGTGGATAAATGCTCGGCGTCGGGAGCGCTTTACATGCAAAAATTAAACGCGTTTTTAACCATCGGTTAATTGAAAGCTGAAGAAAAAAAGAATAGATTTTACACTCATCGAACATTTCTATCATCAATAAATACACTCGATTCAATATAGCTAGTGAGCAAAACATTTTTCGAACACGATATTTCCAAAAAAGACACATCATCAATCTTTATTCATCTGCACAGAATGCAGCATACAACATTACAATCGATTTGTTGGAATGAAAAGATAAATACATGACTGGAAAAATATAACTCAGTACTCAGAGCAGTGAGTGACAGAGAGCGCATTTTCTCGTCGACGAAAACGTGAAGTCACGGACAGACGGACAGACAGACGGACGGACATGACGAGCACAATAGGGCCTATTTTCCATAAATGAGAAAATGCGCTAAAAATAGGTTAAAATGGCCTCGGCGTTGGGAGCCGGTCAATAAATTTCCACGTGCAGGTAGGGACTCCACGCGGCACCCAGCGGGCGACGTGTACATGCAGGTAAATATTTTTTACTTCAGCTTCTTTTCCCGAAAATGTTTCGAGTTTCAAAAACTGAGGTTTTTCGATGTAATAGCCTAAACACGAAGCTGTTTTTCATCAATCAATACGTCACACTAATATATTAATCCTAAATAGAATACAATTTTATTTTAAAAATAAGTACAATTCAAAACATCCGACCCACACACAGTCTCAAAATTGCAATACCTGTTAGGACAAATAAAACAAAATTGGGGTGCGTGAAAACTTGTAAATATGGAATGCATGCCAGAGGCCAGCATTGCCCAAGACCAGCATATCTTTCATCCTCCTTTCCGTACGTAAGCCTGCTAAAGGGCAGAGTAGACTAAGGGATTATATGTTAAAAGCCAAAGGTACAAATCCCCTTCATGGAAATTAACCAGCGAGCTAATGAGAAGTAAGCCACCAATACAATCGCTCTACGCCGTATTTAAAACAGCCCAACAGCTCTATCCCAAGCCGTTTAACCTAATCACGATTTTCGGTAAGCAACTCCTACCGCTGTTGATACACAGTCAGCACTCCAGCCCGTCCGTTCGTCGCAGCTGTTTTCGTCGCAGCTCCAGGCTTACCCCGTCTCCCCGCCTTTTTTCACCGACTGCCGGACGGCTTTTCTTAGTTTCTGCTCACTTGACTGCATTACGTTATGAAAAGAGTATCTATACGAATTGCAACCTAACCTAACCTAATTCGGATAAGCATCAAAGGTCTGCGAGAAAAGCCTCCAGTTAGTCATGCGATAATGGTGGAGAGTAGGGGGAACGGGGAAGAAGATGCTGGGGGATAGTCTGGGAAAGTGATCTCGAAATCGGGTATCTGGGGCCAAGGAAATCATGCCGATGAGGAAGTGATCTCGAAATCTTGGTGTGCTCAGTGAGTAACCTGGGGCTGTGAGGTGGATAAGGGTTCCATGTCAACAGCAGTGATAGTAAGGCAGGGAAACAGTGACGCGTGTTAACGTCTTGCGGAGTAAGTAAGGTGATGACTCATTACCGTTTGGTACAGTCAACATTTGCGGCAATGCAGTGTGGTCAGCGGACAATTAGGATAACAGCATGTGTAAGAAGTGATGGTATGGGTTATAAAGCATTGGAGAACAACGTATTGTCGGTATTGACCGTTAACTATGTGGAGTAGCAGCTTGTGTGCTGAAACAGTGTTGGTTTAAAGTTCGTGTGTTGAGATAGGTCAATTGACTACAGCTGCTTAGGTGCCAGGATGACAATATCTATAGCATTTAGATGGTTGATGTTGGCTCCAGGGCTGATTTGAACGTTAATTTGCTGGTCTACGGCTGCGCACCCGTAAATATCTTGCCGACTTAGCCTAGCAGTAGAATCATGGATCGAATTCATTCCAGAGCGCAATAGAGAAAGTCCTATCCAAAACATCTCAGTTTTCCATCAACTCAACGAACATGCCACTATATCAGCCGCAGAAACGTATAATTTTCTACCGTTACCGTTTATAATGCACGTGCGATCGATTGTCTTCGCACGCGTGTGCTTTTGCCGCGTCTCAATATCGATTTGAATTTCGAACATCTGTGCGATGCAGTCGGGCCGGCCGGTAGCTTCAACCAGACAGAAACATTTGTTTTAACAATAACTGAGTTAAAGTATCTACTCACCGAGGGCTTTCATGAACTCATCAAATCCTTCAGATGATTCCATCTTGTATTTTCCGACAATTTTGGCTGCCATTTTGCTGAGTTTTTGTAGTGAACAACGAAGAGGAGCACGATACAACCTACACTCCGGGGCGTGATCAGGAGACGACTGATGAGCTCTAGTCGAGGCACGCAGCCACCGACTGCTGCGGCTGAGAGGGGGCTAAGGGAGGGGTTCTGAGTGCTCTTATATATATATTCAGGGTTTCAATTTATAATTCATAGGACTCGATTATGTCTGTACCGGCTTAGAGTGCTCTGGCTGCTGATTATTCAATACGAATAAAAGAAACACGGCGAATGTGGGTGAACTAGGCAGGCCATGGGCCGACACTTCTATTCTAGATGTCGCATTGTACCAATCAGTGCACAAATATTAATTAATTCTAATAATTTAAAAATTCAGTAACAATTCGGACAATTTATATCACATGTAATAATTTGTTGATAAAGGCGGGTCTTGGTTCCTACAGAATTCATCTCGTGTTCCATAAGGCGATGTTTTTTTTTTGGTAGATAGAAGGATAGGGAAATTTTCCCCACTTAACTCGACAAGTTTCATTCATTAAGTCATTGTGATGTTATTATTGGTTCATTTTCCCGGAAACCCAACGATAATTTTCGCTAAAATGTTTACCTGTCTATCATATGGCCTCGAGTAACGAGTAATAGGAAAAAAAATAAATTTATTGAGCCACGGCAGCAACTAAGGCCTAAAGGTTTACATGAATCTTTAAGGTAACATTTAAAAACTTTCCGTAAAACGAAACGAGAAGATAATTGAATGCATGCCCATTTATTTGAAAATTCGGAGTTTTCGTTGAGTCAATGAAAGAGCGTTAAGTGAGTCGAGTGCTAAAAGGGTGTATATAATAAATAATGTACTTTGCATGGATATTCATTTCGATGCCCAACTTACTCCACACACTTATCTAATTGTATCACTAATTAAATCAAAATTCGACATGAATATTTCTATGAAAGATGTTGCAATCTGGAAAGTTTGAAGGTATTACATTTGCTGATGCAAATCTTTTTTATTCTTTGTAATCAAGAATTTAACCAATGATGCGAATCTTATTTTGTATTATCAAGAATTTAACCAATTGAAACCATTATTTTTCACTCATTGTCAATGCATGGATGAATGAATGTGACAATGCTCTCGGATGCTTCCTTATGAACGTGACACCGCAATATTTACTCAATGATCAACTGTGACGATGAGGAGGGAAGTTGAACGAAAAGTTACCGTAAATACGTGAATGACTATTCATTGTTTATTATGTAAAGCGATGTAGCTATTCAGACGTGCTAACTGAGAACAAATATATACGTTGATACTAGGTAATTTGTGGCCTGATCATGCATTGATTATAGATAACTTTTGATATAACATGGATGAAAATCGTTATGTTTTTCGATAGTTCGAGTGAATAATTTCTCCCAAATTGTTTTCGTTCCGTGTTTGCATTTTTGCTTAAGTTTTTTTTTTCAATGTTTGAAAATTGTGTTTTTCCACATGGAAAATTAGCGAATTTCATGAACGCTCAAGAAAATCTTTACACTTCGGCTGACAGAATTCTTCATAAATGACGCTATAAATTTCGAAAAATGTAGTCATTTTCAAATTTGAATGTGTGCATTTGACATTTGTACAAGTAGATGTTAGGTATTGAATAAATTTTTTGTTACAATAGTGTAACTAATCGTGCGCAAAGTGAACGCATAAATAAGTTGTAGCGAATCATTTGAGAGATTCCGGAATCTTCAAAAATCTAAAAAATCACATTAAAATTCTTTTAAAGATGTCGACTGTGAGGGTGAAGGAAAAGTGGAGTGCAAATTGGTCAAAAGGAAAGCTAAGTAAAATATTTGTGAAGCCTATACAAAGTTTTGAATGCAGAATGCACAATTTGGAGTGTATTTAAATTATGTTTGTGACCGCTGTTTATTACGTTAGATGGAAATAGAAACATTATTTCCTGAAACTCAGCTCCTACTCCTCTGCACTGTCTGCAGGGCTCGCGATGCACCTCACGTATTACGTACATTATGTATTATGCGCGTATTATGTACATTGTTTGCAGAGCGTACATTGTTTGTACGGCACTTATTATGTGCGCTATTTGCAGAGCGCGTATTTTGTGCATTGTTTGTTCGGCGCGTATTGTATGTTCATGCCTTATTTGCAAAGCACGTATTATGTCCCCTGCTTGCAGAGCGCGTATTATGTGCACTATATTTGCAGAGCGCGTATTTTGAGCATCGTTCGTTCTGCCTATATTATATGTGCACTATTTATAAAGAGCGTATCTTATCTTTGCGTTAATAGTTGAATATATAGTTGCTCAGCGCGAATTATTTGAATAATTTCGGGGGCGTATTTTGTATGCATAATTTGGAGCGTTAATTGAGCGTGCATGTAAATTGCATAGTTCGGAGAGCGAGCATTACATGCATTAATTATATAGGCGTGCATAGAAGCGTATTTTATACTTTTATAGAAGCTATAGAAGTATAAATATTTTATACTTTTTACTATACTATATACTATATACTATACTATATATTTTATACTTTTTTTATAGAAGCGTATTTTATAGAAGAAAAGTGCATTTGCGTATTTTATAGAAGACATATAATGTGTGTGACTCATTTTGGCTGATTGAACATAGAGCTCAAACTTAATACTCAGAGTTTTGCAGTACATGGTAAGAATCAGGCCAGTGAGCGAACTACTAAATAACTTCCATTAATATGAAGCATCAACTCTTAAGTATTTCCATTCAGCGAGAGCCAAATGCTGCTCGGCAACAAGCCTTTATGAGGAATAAAGGCCCAAAAGCAAACGTACTGTGAATAGGAAATAGCAATTGCCCGGTGCCCGCATGTATGCAATAATTGGATACAGTAGAGGAAGACGTCGGTCATTCAGGATCGTTTAATTTCACTCAGTTCCTTTGCTAAGGCAATTCTGGTGAACTCTTCCCTGGTTTGAGCTTTATAGTGACGACCAACCCGGGGCGGTCGCCTCACAGCGTCTAGACGTGCGCGACTTCCTTATCATAAAGTGAGAGTAATAATTCAGTGTCATTCAAGTGTGCGTCTGCAGCGTGAAGGACTTGTATTGCGTGTTTTTAGGTTAAATGATCATAAAAACATTCCTTTCACGCATTTCAAAGTTGCGTGTTTTTAGGTTAAATGATCATAAAAACAACCCTTTCACGCATATCAAAGTTGCGTGTTTTTAGGTTAAATGATCATAAAAACATTCCTTTCACGCATTTCAAAGAGACCGGCGAGGTAACTCGAGCCTCAGACTGTGTAGAGTTCCCTCAAAAAACTCTCAACGCATGAATCGCCCTCCCGTTGCCTACAATAAAAAGCTGCATATCTGCTCCAATTATTCTGTTAGTTTTTTGTTCGAAGTTATTTCAGTTAGTGCGAGCTAAGAGTTGTCTAATCTAAAGGTATCAGTAAAATGCATAGCTGCTGTAAATTCGTTGCAAAAATAACTTATTTAAGAAAATTAGTGGAATATTTAAAAAGCAAGGCTCATTTATATCTAAAATTCTGGCTATTTAAAAACTTCCAGGTAGAAAAATTATTGCCGTTCACATAGTTACAGCTGAAAGAAAGGCAAACGAGAGTTAAAATATTGACTTGAAATCTTGTTTATTCCTCAAGCAGCTTTGGAAGTGTTACTACAGCATTGTGGTATTTTCCGAATGGTTTCTCATTGAATGGTTTTTACCTATCCATTCCATGTTGAGAGTGCACATGGGAAAGTTTTTGATACATCTTTCTCTTCCCAGAGGTTAATAAAATCTTTTCCGTTCATGCCTGCAATTTATCCCATCTAAAACTGTAAAGCTAATTTGCATTAATCAATAAACCACATTTCACATTTTTTTATAGTATTCATGAGATTTGCGAAAATAATAAACAGCTCATTAGCTTGTTAGAGAGATGATCTTAATTTGCTCCATAGTCCTAAACAAGGTGTGTAAAAAATGTATAAGAATCCCAGAATAGATTCTTTGGCTAAAGGCACTTAAGAATCATGGATATTTGAATCTATCGCATGTGACGTATTTAAAGGAGAGCATTTCCTTTGGTTTTGGTGGTGGGCGACTGAAAGGATGACATGGAAAATATGTCAGGTTTCGATTAAAGAACTGCGTATAGGGTGATATGAAATCGATTTCGGAATCTGTAATTGCGGCGCAGAATTTTGCGCGAAATACAAAATTCCAAACTTATTTTAGGAAATGTGCTCATAATGCATCTGCAAATATTTAATGATATTAATACCACGAGTTTGATGCAATCAAAATTTATAATAATAGAAAAAATAATAGACAAAATATAAGTTAAAAATCTTAAAAATTATTTTCAAAGTTTTTGAGGGTTTGACGCCGAGCATATTAAATTCGAGCATATGAACATTCGAGCGAATGTTCGCGATGCTTATCGTGTCGCAATATTACCTGGACATAAAATTTTATTTGGTGGGGAATATTAAAAATAGCAAAAACTAGGAGTGGGAAGGAGTGGACCAACAAAGGAGATTTCATATTCATATTAGGAAGCGCAAATTTAATTATAAGATTGCAAACTTTTTTTCTTATTGTGAAACGATAGTCAAGTATGAATTATATTCTCCTTGTTTGAACAGGGCTATGTTTACTTTAGTTTTGTTATTATTAACGGAAGTAGGAACTGCACAAATGATTTAAAATTCAGGATTATAAATTACAAAGAATGTCGAGCTCCAGCTGGCGAGGTTGGGCTAACCTGCTGTTATAACTTCTAGCTATCTACAGTATAAATGTTTTTAAACTAAACTTGCAAAATATTGTTTGTCTCTGTAATGAATTGCACGTAATGCCTCTGTAGCGACAATATTGAAACCCTCAAACTAATTATCCAATAGTGCTCATTTATGTACCATCAGTATAGGGTGCCGAAGCATCAACAATATAAATCAGAGATGTTTTATCGTTTGGCCGCTACGGTTTTTTTTCCCCGTAAGAGAAAAAAACATCATCAGCCATCGTGGCTGATGTTTAATATTCTAGGCCAGTGGTTCCCAAACTTTTGCAGGCTGGCGTCCCC